GTTACGTGCAAACATTACCTTCTCATCCTCTAATTTATTCATATGATGTGATTTAACTTTAAGAGTTTTTAATTCTATTTAGAGGAGATTATTGGCAACTGCCCTTATCATTTTGTTGCTTTTTTTTTTGAATAAGTTGTCAAGGGGTGGGGCTCGAAACCTATTCATAAGGAAAGAAGAATGCATTTCAAGTCGGTAGACTGCCAGTTAACCCGAAAGGTTAAGTGCCATTTTGTTGTTTTTTTTTTTTTTTGTGACAGTAAAAATTACATTAGTATAAGTAGTATTTGTTCTTAAAGAGATAAAAAAATATCAAACTTAAAACTCGAACTGCACATACTTCCGGGGTGCTCCCACTTTGCTGCTTGAGGAGAAGCGTGGCCACGAGACCCACATAGTGGTGAGCTACCCTTATCATTTTGTTTGTTGTGATATGGAGGATAATCAAATTTGTTATAGTTTTATTGCTATTGGCTAACTACTATTAATATTAATTGTAAACATACTTTATGTAAGGCTAATTATACGAACAAATTTGTATTAGCAAGATTCTCATATTATTCTTCCTATAATTTAGGCTATTTATGTATATTTCTTTTTTTTTTTTCTTTCTATTTTTCTTAACCCAAATATGATGTAAATGCAAAAAATTTGGAGATAAAAGGATAAATGTCTCCTTTATATTGTGTTAAACTACCATTGAAATAACCTGTTTGTTCTCTTTCCTCTATAAATCCCCTGCTTCAATTTTAAAAAATTCCTCATTTCAAATTTATGAAAATAATCTAAAATTATAAATTAGATAAGATACATGCTTTCTAAAATTATAAAAAACTAAATTGAATTGATAGAGATATATTTTAAATCTTAATTTAATGTAATAGTTTCAATTTTTACTAAACAACTAACTTAAATACTTAGTTACTACATTTATAAAATGGATGTGACACTAGCTTCTTCTGTTTTTTTCTTCTTTTTTTTTTAATTGATAGATTGCATAATATTGCCAAGGTGGGAAAAAGGAAATTAATAGACTACTAAAATATGTCAGTCTCAATTGGTACGAATTTGAGAATCAATTCAAATATCAGTTTCAAACCTTGAAACATTAAAGAAATTTGGAAGGGTGAAGGATTATGTCCTGAACTTATGTAATCAAATGTAGCTTAATTACCAAAAGTAAACAACTAGAATATTATCCCAATGGCAATAAGGCTTTGATTCAATGCTTGAAATACATGTTGGACTGGATTTAGGCTCAAATCTCCTCGTTGTATTGGTAGTTTGCCTGCTGGAGTGCAGTCAGTATATATATTCCCCGTGAGCTCTGAAACTCACCTCCTGGCTTCTCTCATTTTGTTATAAAATTCTTGGCTTCTCTTGTGAAAATAAACAAGCATCTTCTCCCTTGGTGGCAGGTTGTCTTTGATCATCGTGTGGTTGAGAAACCTGTTGATCCATGCGGGAGTAGCCGGGAATTGCAGAGGGTCTAGAATTTGCATTGAACCAACTTCCTCAAAAACAGGCATCCAGTGAGGGATCCATCCCACTGCAATGTCTAGGTAGCCAAGGTTGCTCCTCCCATCGCCTCCAAGGATGTGCTTCCCTTTGAATACTTCCTCTTCCATCTTTTCTAAGGCTTCTTTACATAGTTCTAGACCCTTTTGCTTTTCCTCTCCTTTGGTGCACATAGCATACCATGCAGTTTCCAAAAACCTATAACTGTAGGATACACATATAATCTACTAGTTAAGAATTTTGATTTCTATGTTGGAGATTTCATATTCGAATTCTAAGAATGGGTAAGGAGGGATTTGGAAAAGAAAGAGTTATTCCTGTTGTATACTCCAAACCAACATCTGATGTATCAAATAGACTGTTTATTGAGTAGAATTATCTTCATTCTTTTTGCAGATTGACAAACATTATCAATATCAAATCCTATTTGCATGCAGCGAGTTTAAATACTTCCCAAACAATCATGTACTGCCACTAAGTTTGCGAGAAAGTTTTGCATAACATTTTAGGGTCAAAAGGAAAGTGTACCTGCTCTTCACAAAATTTAGCCCAAAATATGTCGAAAGCCCTTTGGTGAGGATCTTGCGGCGGCAAAGGATCATGCTTCCATGTTTCATTGACATACTCAAGTAAAACTAATGACTCTGCTATTACCTTCCCATCATGAACAAGAACTGGCACCTTCTTATGCACAGGGTTGAGTTCAAGGAGAAGATTGCTTTTGTTGTAGATGTCTTCTTCTATGTACTCATACTCAACGCCCTCCACCTTCAGAACCCATTCAACTCTGCGCGAATTGGGGCTAACCCAAAATCCTAAAAGCTTCACTTCCTTGCTCTCCATGAAAGATGGTTTGTTGCCCTTTGTTTCCGAGGTTCTAGTCCCATGCATATCTAGATACATCTCATAATAGCTTCAGATTTTTTCCTTGGTCGATTCTTGGCCTTGAAAACTCTAAACACCACCATGGGGCCACATTTTTGGCCAAAATGGAACCTATTTGTCTTCTTCCTACCTTGATAGAGTGTTCAAAGGATAATGATATAGAGATTTATTTATATATATATAATTCTTTATATAATTTTCACAAATAATGAAATGAGTTAATGCATATAATTATTAAATAATATATAAAATTGTATAAAAAACTATAAAAAAAATTATCTCTAAAAAAAATTACCTCTAAATCGTTTTCCTTCTTAAAATTTGTTACTTAGGTCATGCATGACTTCATTAGAGATGAACCATGCGTGAGGTGCTTAAAATTTTCTTTTAACTACTCCTAAAATTTTCCAGTCCAATACAATATTCTATTGTGATATGATCAATAATCACATTTCTCATGGTTTTATTGCTATTAGCTAACCAGTCCCTCCCTTTTATGGTAGAATTCTTACATTGACTTTGATATTTAAAACAAAAAATTCACATAAAAAGTTAAAATATCATATAAATAATAATAATAATACATATATTACATATATATATATATAAATTCTTCAACTGGCATTCATTTCTTAATATATGATCAAGCGAAATTTTCTCATGTGTTGGAATCTATTTTTCTGTTGCTAAAAAGGTAAGAAGAATTAAGCGTAAATTTTTTTTTTTTTTAAATGTGAGTAAATCTTAAAATTATAAAGTTGAAATATAAATAATGAAACTTTGCAAAGCAAATTTATGGTCAATTGAGGGAAACAAAGGATTTTCATTAATGTGAAGTGCAAACATATTGCAATTAGTACATATCCAACAAAATGACTGTTTTAGTTACCTGCCCAACACTTATCTACATAAAAGAAAAAAAAAAATACAGCAACAATTATCAAACTACAAAGTTCAAACTTCTTCACCTTCTAGCTCAGTTCAGGAAATCTTTCATGGGGTCATCAAAATGTACTTTCTTCATTCGATATGCCTCCATCTCCTCAGCAGTAACCTACCATAGGAATTACATGATTTAGTAACAATATAAAACCAATGGTCATGAAGATAACAATATAAAACTCTAACCATCAGCTGCGGGTTATATATTACAGAAATCATCATTGTTACCTCATCATTCCATCTAACATTGTACTTGCGCTTCCTTTCATCCTTTTCTTCCTTCCTCTTCTCATCCTCCTGCCAAACGAAAGAGTACATTTAAACAAGCAGCAAATTATTCAATTAAAAAAAAAAAAAGGCATACACCATGTCACTGCTTTTGAGCTTCAAAAGACAGCAAACCTACTAGTTCATGGGAAGATGCTATTTTTGGGTACAGTATACAGCAAAAACTAGGAGAAACATTAGGTGACCATATTACCTTCTTAAGTGCTTCATCAAGTAATTTCTGATCAAGAACAAGGTCATCTGGCACCTCTGTTCCCCAAGTGGCAAGCCTTTTCTCTTCTGCAGGCGCAGGTGTATCTTCTGAGGCTGCTTTACGTGCAATGTTAGCTTTCATTAAGTCTGTTGCAGCTTCAGCAGCCTCAATTCCTGCAGCACCAGTACAGTAACTATTCCGAATTGTTTGCTTACAGCATTTGTAGCCCCATTGGTGATCCTTCCACCATGAACCCCAAACACATGTGTGGTTATTGATGAAAACATCTTCTTCATACTTGCTTTTGGGGAGAGATGTTTCCATTCCCTTTATTAGTCTGCCAGCACGATCATATTCCACTTGCCTCTCACTCTGTCCCAACAAAAGCTCCATTGGAAGCTCTTCATCAGTAGCTGCATTGCCATACTTCTCCATAATGGTGTCTTTTGTCTTTGATTTCAGTTTCTCCTTAATGACCTTATAGTTCTTAAACAGCAATTCAGCCTGAGATGGAGCAGCTTGCATGTGGATATCTTGCCCTTTGTCAAATGCTTCCCAGGCATGAATATTGAGTTGCTTGAACTCCAAAGCTTGGCCACTCATTCTATATTGATTATCACCTTCATAGAACTTCTCATTAGGATCGGCATCTGGAAGGGGATCTTCACGCATGGACCGAGTTTTGGGATCATAATATGACGAATTGACATCAAGATTCAGAAGATATTTTGCTGTATCTTCCCGAATACGCAAGTTCCTAACAGTTCCAGTGCTTCCACCACCTGTAGTGCGGACACGCTTCTCAACCTTAGCAAAGTCCATCTGCTTGCTCTCATCCACCTTGGCTTCATCAACCTTCAATTCATCTTCATCATCATCTTCATCATCATCTTCATCATCATCTTGATCACTAACCTCTTCCTCCCCATTATTCTTACTATTCTTCTCTTCCAATTTTTTCAGTTGCTGCTCTTTCAGATATTTCTTTCTAGCCTCATCCCTTGCCTCATATCTCTCAATAACACGGGCATAAGTAGCTGCATCATAACCATTCCATCTGTCTCGCTTCCCATCATAATCCAGCTCAAACGTCTCTATCTTTTCATCAGGTGCTATGTGCATGCTGGTCCATTTTGCTCCTTTCTTGCGAGGCCTCTCCATGCATGACTTTGCATTATGTGTCATTGCACCACAGTTCTCACATGCTCCCTTCCTGTATTTATCTGCCTGAAATATCTTCGCACCTCTATCATACCACGATTTTGTGTAATTCGGATCTGACTTCCATTTCCTTTGATGTTTCAAACTGGGTCTCTCAGCATTCAGATACCACGGAGCTGATGACATATACTGAGGAATATGTGGATTTATCTCCTTTCCATCCTCATCCACCTCAGCTGGTGCAAGCCCAGCTTTCCGTGCTTCCTCCAATTCCATCTGCTTCCTATGATCCTCCCTTGATTTGAATGCCACTGCAAGTCCAACATAATAAGATAAATAAAATGTCCACAAATCATACAACTGCCTAAGAATTTCATCACCATGGGCGGTCCTAGTATAGCAGCAAATATCAATTACATAAACTAATAGCAATCAGAAGTTTACACATATAGAGGAAGAAGATAAAACAGCCTATCTGTAGAGTTTCAGTATTATTAAGATAAAAGCCAACAGGCATCAGACATGGGAGGAAGCTACAATGTATGATCTATCATTTTCTGTTGCCAAGACATAGGAACAACTCCTACCATCTTTCTCTCTCTAACAACATGATTTCATGCATTGTTATTACAGTAAAGATAAGGTGCAAAAGCCTGAAGCAGACAGAGCAAATTAAACAATCTACCATGAAACTATAAATTAATAAGCAAATGATAATACAAAAATCTAGCTAATTTAGTGCTTAAAAGGAAGAAATTTCGTGTTTTTAAGTTTGCCACAATTAAATTCCCTCGAATCAAACGGTACAGAAGCAGGAATCGTAGGAGGCAAAAGGAATACCTGATGCAGTCGCCATGGCGGTGGATTTTTGGGGAAATAATGCAAACTGATTCTAGTACGCGCTAAAAGCACCGGGATACAAGAAATCGGAGGATCCCGATTATATATTGCACTTGCTTTCTCGTTAGGAGAAACTCAGGCGTAAATATGGGGAAACCGCAACAGCTATTCTCCGGCGTTGGCCGGAAGATCGGATTCCGATTAAAGAAGCGGGATCTGGAGCGAGGGAGATAAGGAGAAATCAGATGCAGAAAGTCTTGTAAACCTAATTCTTAGTGGCTTTTAAGTTTTAACAGAAACCAAAAGAATTCGATGGATAAGGGAATGTGGAAAAGGAGAAAAGAACATAGGAGGTGGCCCAATCAGAATAAGAAAAGATAATATAAAAATATATGAAAATCTTATAATTATAATATTACATAATATTATTTATTTATAATATGCTTTGT